GTGGTGAAACAAACTGGAAGACAACAAGAGAAAAATGAAATGGCAAATTTATACCCTGTGACTAAAAGTGAAATGGAAAGCATGCCACAATGTGTATTGTTTGTTTGATCTGGATATGCTAAATAAATAAAATAATAAAAAAAAATCTCCCATTTACAAAACAGGCCCCAATAGTACAAAGGGTCATGCAAGCAAGTGACTGTGAATGTAAAAGAAACCTAAAAGTTTACACTGCAGACAAAATCCTTACTTAGGGCCTTATTAGGTGTTCTTGGCACATCTAAAACTCCAGGATTCTCAAAAGCCATTTAATTCTATTAAAGTTTTGCACTCAAAACTCCTACTAAAAATAGACTGAGTGTCTAAGGCCAGAAGGGAGCATTGTGATCATCTAGTCTGATATCCTCTAAAGCTCAGGCCACAGAAGTTCTCCTGGATGGGGGGCAGGGGCAGGAGAGAAGAGAGAGAGAAAATCACAAGTCTTTACATATGCAAAAGACAGCATCATCAGTATGGAAGGAGCACATGGATTTGGCTCTTTGTATGCATCGCTAATCAGTGATGCAAATGGTGTAAAGTTATCAATACAACTGCAGAAAGGGAATGAAATGCTTTCATACCCAATTTCCAGAAGAAAGAAAAAAAAAAGTAAATAGTTGGCAACATTTCTTCTATTTAGTGGAAAAGAAAATGTAAAAAGGAGGCAGATTGAAAGATGTTGTTTACAAGTGATGTTGCAGGGAGTTTTTATAAATTGCAATGATAATGTAATCCTGAAGAAATGAATGCTACATAAGAGCTGCATATCATTATCAATGCATAAATATTCACAAGGTTTTTGGAGAGAATTGCCATATATTCATAACTATATCTGGAGGGGATAAATCAGTAATTATATAAAGACCTCAGGATTTGGCTGTTAATCAGTTTTTAAACTTAGGCACTCTCATTGACTTAATGTACAGCACTCAACAACATATCACAAGGCCAAGTTATGCAGTACTTACTAAGGAAACAGGTTTCAGAGGGGTGACTGTGTTAGTCTGTATCAGCAAAAAGAACGAGGAGTCCTTGTGGCACCTTAGAGACTAACAAATTTATTTGAGCATAAGCTTTTGTGGGCTAAAACCCACTTCATCAGATGCATGCAGTGGAAAATACAGTAGGATGAAGTGGGTTTTAGCCCACGAAAGCTTATGCTCAAATTTGTTAGTCTCTAAGGTGCCACAAGGACTCCTTGTTCTTTTTACTAAGGAAAGACTCCCATTGGCCTCCCTTAATTTTGCCTGAGTAAGGCCACAGGACTCAATTATGCCCATAAAGTACTTCAGCCTCTTCAGTGTTTTTCTTTGGTTCAATGAAAACTAAACATGGAAGTTTAAACACAAAAACATTTTTGAATAAAGAATCTCAAACTATAAAGGTATTTTTATTTTCTCTTTATTAATTAAAATTTTAAAGCATCTAAAAAGCTATTTTTAATTTGTTTGTATGACATGGAACTGTCATTTCAATGAGACAAGAACACTTAACTTTGTAGCTTTGATAAATTTAGACATTAACATTAATATTTTAGTATCATAATTATATTAATACCCTATATGATGTTTTTACTTCATCTAAACAAAATGATTTGATATGAAAACAAGTTGTTCAGTCTTGAGAATTAATTTTGGAATTTGGATTCTATGGGAAATTGATTTGTTCAGATTCAGAACTAGGGTTGTGTTTTTGTTTTTAAAAATCAGGATTTTCCACAGAATGGAAATTCTGTTTTGTGACCAGCTTTATCTATAACTCAACACAACAAAGTGGGACAAAAAAATTGAAATAGCAACAAGTCACCCAAAAATAAAGTTCTACAAAATTGTTATATTTTCAATTAAAATGCTTTGTTTTAAAGTTAGAGAGATGAGGTGGGTGAGGTGATATCTTTTAGTGGATTAAGTTCTGTTGATGAAAGAGAGAGAGAAGCTTTTGAGCTACACAGAGCTCTTCCTCAGGTCTGGGAAAGGTGCTCAGGGTATGTGTATGCTGCAGTTTAGACACCCATGGCTGGGCCATGCCAGTGGACTTGGGCTCACAGTGCTTGAGCTAAGGGGCTGTTTAGTTTGAATGTTTGGGCTCAGGCTGAAGTCTAGGCTCTGGGACCCTCTAGCTCGAGCCAAAACGTCTAAACTGCAATTAAACAGCCCCTTAACCCAAGCCTGTGAGCAGAAGTCACCTGGCATGGGTGCACCACAGGTGTTTAATTGCAGTGTAGACATATCTAGAGTGTAACAGCTAAATACAAGGTCAAAAAGATAGTTTAGCATAAGTAGTTAGCACATTCTAAGGGGCCATTCTAGGTGAAGTGGCCCATTAAAACCCTGTAGTCCAGGGGTAGGCAACCTATGGCACGCATGCCAAAGGCAGCACACAAGCTGATTTTCAGTGGCACTCACACTGCCCGGGTCCTGTCCACCGGTCCGGGGGGCTCTGCATTTTAATTTAATTTTAAATGACACTTCTTAAACATTTTAAAAACCTTATTTACTTTACATACAACAGTTATATATTATAGGCTTAGAGAAAGAGACCTTCTAAAAATGTTAAGAGGTATTACTGGCACATGAAACCTTAAATTCGAGTGAATAAATGAAGACTCGGCACACCACTTCTGAAAGGTTGCCAACCCCTGCTGTATTCATAGGACAAAAAGGGGGCTAGAGGGTTACAGATTATTGTAATAAGCCATACATTAAGTGTCTTTATTAAGACCATGTCTGACATTATGAAAATTCAAAATAAAATGCTTCATTTTGAATTTTCACATTGAAAAACTGTTAATCTACATTTGTCTCAAAGACTGACAGTTCCATAGTCCTTTTTCACTCAAAACACTTCAACAAGCTGTAATTTTTGTGCAGCACCTAGCACAGTGGGGCCCTATAAGCAGTTCTACTCACCACAGTACCATCCCTAGCATCTGGAATGGGGCAGTGGAGGAATTTTCACCTCTGGAACCCCCCTCCTGCTGATCACCTCTTCGGCCCAGTGTCTGTCCACAGCATAGCCCTCCAAGGGTATGGAAAGCCCAAAACAGCAACTCACACAAACAAAAGGGTCTTTCACACTGCTTGGGCTCATCTTCAGCCCATCCTCCAGACTCAGCTCCCTACCCCTTGTGGGTTACCTTTAAGTCTCTCTGGCTCTTTTCCTAGAATCCCCTCTCACTCTCATTCCCCCTATTTAAGAACCTTCTACAGAAACCCTACTAGCTCCCTGTGATTCATCTTCCAAACTGAGTTTTCTCAGCCCTTTTGTGAGGCCCAGGTGTCTCATACTGTCACCTGACCTCAATTAGCCCTACCCCCTGTAGCTAAGATGGGGCTAATTACAGCACAGGTGGGCTGACTGAACAGGGTTAGCTGCCCCAGGCCTCCTGGCCCTAAAAAGGGCAATCCACCCTGTTAGAGGTCCAAAGCAGAGATTGGGGCTTTTAGGTAATGTCATCAAATAATAGATAGTAATAATAATAAAGGCACTAAAGGTCACTGCAGCAACATTTTTGTTGTTTGGGTGTTTTCCCCTTCTCTGTTTTATTCTGAAATATGCAAAATATCTGCAGCATTGATTGGTAATGACTTTTTACAACATAAACATGTAAATTAAAAAAATAAATATAATGGTCTAAATTCTCAGGCTCACTCTATCTCTTTTGTACCACTGGGACCATGCTAGGGATACTGAGCTGATATAGCTGGTTTCTTTGTCACTCCCTCTTTGCAGTCCCTAGCGTAGGAAGTATGTTGGGGGGGGGGGAGGAATGGAGAGGAGTAGGCAGTACCATTGGCTGGAACATGATTCCAACTGGTGCACTTTAGAGCAGCCTCTAAGCTACTCTAATGTGTGCTCAGGATTAAAGCAGAGAATCAGGGAGGTATAACCAGCTTCCTGATCGCCACCCCTTCCACACTAGTCTGCTCATTGGAAGTTGGATGCAGCATGAGAATCTGGCCCAATATTTGTAACCTTGAAAGACTGTTGCAATCCCACACTCAAGTACTGAAGTTAATGTCGGTTTTGCCTGAGTATGGAGTGACAATGCAGGTCTAATGTCTGCCCCTCACCCCCATGCAAGTTCATCAGATGGTGGCCTATTCTTTGTATTTGGCTTTCTTTCCAGTACTAAGTTTACCAAAAACATACAACTACAATCTGAAGCAACCCCAAGGTACAATCCTTCTAGGTGAGATAGATATAGAGATGCTTAGTCTAGGTATGAATTTCAGAGTGGGGCAGTAGATGCCCTGATCATGCCTATGGTTTCTTCTCTTTTATTTCTTATGTAGCCTTCCCATTCCTGGGTTTGGACCCAGCGTCCACACAGGTTTATAGCCGTTTAAGATGTACTAGGCAATACCTCAATGTACTAGGGCAGGATATAGCACCCTCAATAGAGAAGAGGATGGAGTTCTAGAACCAGCTGAAGTAGATGAAATACAATGATAAGTGTAATATAAAATCAGACTGGTGGGAATTAATCAAACCAACAAGGGCACCTTCCTGCCAGCTTACTGGACTTCTTGTAAGTGATGATATCTGGCTTTGTAAACTACTTTCCTGAAAAGGGAAATACTGTTAAAAGAAAAATCACCATTCTGTCTGATATTTTTATGATCTACTTTTATGAGTCTTTCACACAGCAACCAGGGAGAGAAAATCATTTACAATAAAAAAGGAAAAGGTGGTGTGAAACCACAGAAATCCGCAGGGTACCCAGATTGGTATAATGCCTGAGACTACTGTTTACTCTTTTTTTTTTTTTTAACTGAATAATTCACTGTTTCAGGTGGACAGTGTCCCTTTGAAAGTGGAAAAAATGAGGGGTAGGCGGACTATGAAATTATGGGACAAGGGATGAACATATGCTGAAAACAAATGATACACATGCTATGGAGTGCTTGTGTAGTATCAAAGATTAAATATTAAACCAATTTCACCATTTCTTTTATAGTATGTCTCAGTGGAGTCAAGTCCAGCAGTTGGAAATAAAGTTTTTGGAGCAGGTAGACCAGTTCTATGACGATAACTTTCCCATGGAAGTCCGACATCTACTAGCACAGTGGATAGAAAGCCAAGATTGGTAGGATTAAATGTTCTTCTGTCTACTAAGGTTTGATTTGTGGAAACTTTATGGTTTATACAGGCAGATTTCTGGTATGTTTGCTTGTGAACTGTGCAGGAAAAGTGTGCCTTTAGTTATGTATTAAAGGCCATCTTATTCACATAGCATGTTGCCCTTTATTTATCTGAGAGATTCAGAGTGAGTGAAACATTGAAAGTGCCAATGTTTTCACTACATTAGTTTACTAATTACAAATTTCCATGGCATATATTTGATTTGTCAGGGGCAGATTTATAATAAAAACACTAATTAGTGTTTAGGGATCTCTTTCTTGCTTTGATTTTGAATAAATCAAATACCACATACTTCTTTAAAGAATTATTTTTAAATAAAAAAGCTGAATGTAATTTTCTTTATAACACGTTTATTGAAATATGACTTCATCTAGCTTTAATGAAGAGAAACAAAATTAAAGCTTAATATAATCAGATAATACATAGTCATTTGAGCTGTTCTATATCTTTTAGAGCTCAATTTTCTCTCTTTCAGACTCAAATTTCAGGTGTGTTTGAATAGATTTTTGTTTGGACTTATCTCTATACAAAATATATTTGTTTTTGAATATTAACATAATGACAGTTTTTTGCATGAAAAAATGTCAGTTAGTTTTAGGTTGGTTTTTTGTTTGTTTGTATTTTGTAGTGTGAAACGGATTCATGTACTCTTTTCTCCAAACTGCACACAAGAAGCAAACTACCTTTTAAAAAAGTCTTTACTTGTTTCCTTCATTTCTGAATGCAGATTATAACTTACTTAGCAAATAACTTGACATATCTCATGACATTTTTGTTCATTCACATGCATGTTTCATGTTAATAATTTTGTGTTGCATAGGGAGGCCGCTTCCAATAATGAACCAATGGCAACAATCCTCTTACAGAATTTGTTAATACAATTGGATGAACAGTTAGACCGGGTTTCTCAAGAAAAGAACCTCCTGTTGATACACAACCTGAAAAGAATCAGGAAACTTCTTCAGGTAAGATTATTACCTCAGATTGCCTTTAGATAAATGTGTACCTTCTTACTGGTTTCTAAGGCAAAATCTAACTACCCTTGAAGTCAGTTCAGTTCTGTTTATGTTCTTAAATTGTGCTCATCAATGTAGTATCTAAGCAACTCTGGTAAGATCAGACCCTACTATCTCCAGGCAAAATTAAGTTGACACTTAAGGTCAAATTCTGTTCTTAGTTACACTTATGGAGTAACATGTATGATTTCAGTGGAGATTGCACAAGTGTAACAGCAGAAACTGGGACCCAGGGTCTTGATACGCAGACAAATCTCAGTTTTTGCAAGTGACATTTTGCAACCTTGTCTATTATAGGTGCAATATTAGTAAAATGTCTAATTACCTGATTTGTGGGCACAAAAGTAGATATTTAACTATGAATAGTTGTGTATACATACTCCTGGGGGAATTCTGCGCCAAAAAATTGAAAATTCAAATATTTTAAAATTTTACAAATTTTATTTGTCTAAATAACACTACATAATCATATTATTTTGGTAATTTATTTCAAAATACCTGACAGCAAGTATGTCTATAGCAATACAGACACACACAAAAATTCCCCTAGGAGTAGAGAATTAAAGAAACCCCTATGACAACCCAGTTTTTTCTCTTAATTAATTAGCCTCTTAGAGTTGGTAGGACAACTCCCACCTTTTCATGTTCTCTGTATGTGTATATTTATCTCCTCACTATATGTTCCATTCTGTGCATCCCATGAAGTGGGCTGTAGCCCATGAAAGCTTATGCTCAAATACTCCAAAGTACTCCTATTCTTTTTGCGGATACAGACTAACACGGCTGCTACTCTGAAACCTAGTTTCTGTTTCTCTGCCCCCTCGCCCCCAGCCCAGATAACCTCCCCCTCCCTCCCAGAGCCCAGCTGTGGCCCCCCCAGCCCAGACACCCTCCCTGAACCCAGCCGTGGCCTCCCCAGCCCAGACCCCCGTCCCTCTACTGCCCAGGGTTCCAGAAGGAGAAACAGCCTGTTGCTGGGTCCCAGCCAGGCTTGTGTGGAGTCAGGGCCGGCTCCAGGCACCAGCCCACCAAGCTTGTGCTTGGGGCGGCACCTGGAGGGGGGGCGGCGCGGTGCTCCGGCTCCGGCCGCCGGGGAGAGCGGGGCCACGGCTGGGGCTCGCCGCCCTCCCCCCGGCGCTCTGGCCGCCGGGGAGAGCGGAGCCCCGGCCGGGCACTCCGCCCTCCTCCCAGGGCTCCGGCCGCCCTCCTCCCAGGGCTCCGGCCGCCCTCCCCCGCGGCGCCCTCCCCCCGGCGCTCTGGCCGCCGGGGAGAGCGGAGCCCCGGCCGGGCACTCCGCCCTCCTCCCAGGGCTCCGGCCGCCCTCCCCCCCCCGGCGCCCTCCCCTTGGCCGCCGGGGAGAGCGGAGCCCCGGCCGGGGCTCACCGCCCTCCCCCCGGGGCTCCGGCCGCCCTCCCCCCCGCGCCCTCCCCTGCTGTGCTGGGGGGGGGGGCGGGGGGGTGTGTGGCCGGAGGCTTTTTTGCCTGGGGCGGCAAAAAAGCCAGAGCCAGCCCTGTGTGGAGTTTCCTGAATGCAACCGTCTCCTTCCCTCAGGGCGCGCAGGGTAGGGTGACCAGATAGCAAATGTGAAAAATCGGGACGGGGGGAGGAGGTGATAGGTGCCCATATAAGAAAAAGTCCCAAATATCAGGTCTGTCCCTATAAAATCGGGACATCTGGTCACCCTAGTGCAGAGAACTGCAGCTGCTGGGAACCTTGTACTGTACTCTCCTCCCCCCTCTCCCCGCCAGTGTCTTCTGTGTGCGAGCTGGGCTCTGCCGGGTCCAGCAGCCCCTAGTGGCGGCCAACAGCACTGCAGCCCATTTCTGTGGGGGAAAGGAAATTATGCACAAAAACCATTAATTTCTGCAAAATTCTGCATTGCGCAGTGGCACAGAATTTCCCCAGGAGTAGTATACAATTCATTACAGACATAAAAATGCAGGCACAGTTATTTACAGGTAAAAAACTGCAGCCAGCACTGGATATGAGGCTCTAGAGCAGTGGTTTTAAACCTTTTTTCATTTGCGGACCCCTAAAAATTTTCAAAGGAAGATGCGGACCCCTTTGGTTATCTTAGACATAATCTATAGACCCCCAGTGGTCTGCATACCACAGGTTGAACGCTACAGTTCTATAGCATATAGACCTTCAGTTTGATACGTATCTAAGATTGTCTTTTGATAAGCTTAAAGGTTTTTCCATCAAGCTTTTGCACAGTGATATTTTCTTTTATTGGTTGGAGTTAGTAAAACATAGTCTAATAAATGTTTGTTTATGGTAAGAATTCTGGGGAAATGATAGCATTTAGTTAATGATTTACTTCCTGTTATAATTGTGCCTTCTGCACAAAGCAGATACATATCTCCGTTTTATGAAAGGTTTCTTTCCCTTCTTTGATGGTGGCATGTTTCCTACTGGGACTGCAATGACTGTTATAGTTCTTGCAAAGGGTTATCTTTATTATATGTACTGCAATGGAAAATCTTAACATGACACTGCCAATCACTTTGTTCCCTTTATTCATTATTGGTGATAGCCTCTTAAAAACTTGACAATATTTCCATTCCTACCAACGTTTCCTCTTGCATTATTCAAACACTATTTTTCTCATGTGATTTTCATGCAACTTGAAATTAAGGTCACTTTTTTTGTTTCCCCCCTGGTTTGTATATCAACGTCATCCATAATTTCAAAACAGTTAAAACAACAAATTTATTAACTGCTTCTGCAGGACAAGCAGAGAGGCGCAGCATATTGTTATTGTCTTGGTCCTAGGACACACAGCCATAGAGTGGTGGAATTGCTGCATCACTCTACCAGAGGCACTCTCTCTGCAGGATCATACATACAGGAAGAATGCCTTCAATGGCATTGAGATGAACAGTCCTGACAATATTTTGCAGGCTGAACAGATACGCATTTTACACAGTCACTGGTACCAAATGCTTGATTATAGGGATTTGTCTGTATTTTTATTCAGACTTTGTTTTGGTATTTGGTTTAGCTCTTTAAATGTTCCCCTCTTCCCTTTGCTATGTATTTGATTAAAAAAAAGAGTATTACCAAATGCTAGAAACGTAACCAGCTCTAAACAAATGTGCACTCTAGATAACCTGTAGAATATAGAACAGATTGGGATGAGCACTCAGGTCTTCAATGTACTTTTGTATACATGTATGTGTGTGTTTAGATAATAGCCTTTTGTGTGTGTGTGTGTGTGTGTGTGTGTGTGTGCAGAAGGAAGAACAAATGTCCTTAAGTCCTGTCACCTCTGCTGGGACAGATACTGTGCTGTGCCTCTTGGGAGCTGCAATGCCATAGATGCATACTAGTAGGGGGAGGCACAGGTGGCTGTGAGCCATCTTTTGTGCCACCTGGATTCTGATCTGGCCAGGATCTGAAGTGGTAACCAGAATATATTAGAACAACCCCAGGAGCCTTATGTTCCTCTTCTGGGTTGTATTCTCTCCCAGCCTCTGGTGGCTTCACTGCAGCCCCTGTATGCTACTGGAACAGCATATAAGGGCCAGAACAGGGAGCATAATGGGCCCAGAGTCTGCCTTTTCCTGCCCCACAGCCATGAGCAGATAGAGACTGCATAGAGGCTTGGCAACCACTGCTCAGCCCACTCAATGGCTGGCTTTCTCAAAAGAAATGCAGCACAAGTGGGAGTGTACACTGAATAATTCTCTGTATCCCTAGGCAGGATTGGGTATTCAGATCCCAGTCCTGCAATCTGCTCCAAGCAGAAAGGTCCTTGCATGGGGCTCCATTGACTTCAGGAGCTTGGGGTCTAAAGGTTTACAGATTTTCTTGACAAGACACTGTTCTGCCTATTAAAAAATGATCTCAGTCCTGACCTTTGTGGTAAAATATTTCCATCTGAGAAAAAGAGCAATAGTTCTCTCTATTAGTAACAATGCTGGCCTTTCTCAGTTGTATCACGACAGCAAAGAACTGATTTTTTTTAGATAACAAGTTACTGCTATGGTTTCAGAATAGAAATGTCAACCACCAGACATTTAATAGCACTTTCATTATTAGATCTTTTTCCTGATTTTTCTTTTATGACCTTTAATAGTAAAACCCGCAGTCTAGCCTGGTTTCCACAATAACTGCTACTGGCAGGGCAGAGCCGATTTCGTGAAATGTTCCGTACTATAGATAAAGCAAATAGCTTGTGGCGCTTTTTAAAAAATAAACAAACTATATCAAACACACATTTCATTTAAAGTATTACCTGTCTGGCCGTGAAATTTGTATAATATAATTTCTGCTTATATCTTTAACCTAAATATGTGCTACAGGGCAGAATTCCAATGGTCGAGAGTTATTGATACAAACCCTGGATCTTCAGTTATCAAAACTAATCCCATTCAGTTTAGTTCTGTTGGGCAGGTAGAAAAACCACTACCACAGCTGTCACCAACCAGCACCCTTGTTGTTCTCATTTATTATTTCTCAAGCATTGAAAATGTACTGAAAGCTGTACAGGACACACAATACAAGATAATCCCTATTCCAAAGATACTAAAGTTTACAAATCGCATGTGGGAGAGCAAACTTGGCATCTTTTCTCATACCTATTTGTGCTCTAGGCCGGGCCTAGATCCTTCGGTGCGCCAGAGTTCTGCTTAGCATACCTGAAGAAGGGTGGCAGGGGCACTTCCCTGATCCCTGGCACAAGTAAGAACAGACACAGCACCCCTCTAACTTGTACCAACTTGCAACAGCTATGGCTGTTATTCCGGCAATCCCTTCTGGTGTTGCAGCACATGCTGGCTGTGCCACCTCCTGTCCCAGCACACCACCAGTGCCAGGGGAAAACAGGCAATTGGGAGGATGGGTTATAGAAGTAGGGAGACTTCCTATTGACTTAAATGGAAGAGGGGTTAGACTCTTAATGAGAGAGGAAAAATATATTTGTAATTCATCTTCTGCTTTTTGGT